AAATTGAAAGTGCGGACCCGCAAGGACAGGGAGCTCAAGCTTAAAATGCTGCTCCTGGAAAACTCCCTCAGACCCACATCTGACCCTGGCCAGCAAACCTCCGTGATACCCTCCAGAGGCAAAACAAAAGCAAAAAAATGGCCAGCTTCCTCTCCCCTCAGGAGCTGTTCCTTGGGGAAGAAGTTAAAACCCACACCGACCGTGAGTCGGCTGCCCCACTATACGGTGCCGAGGCTCAGGGCTTCCAGTTGCCCGGCTCTTCCAGCTCTCCTTCAGCCACCTCTGTCAGCACAGTGCCAAGAGCTGCTACGGTGCCAACAGTACAAGCGGCAGCTGCGTCACCATCCTTTGATCTTGCGGTGCCGCTTTTGCAGCCACTGCTGTCAGCACTGAGCCTCCTGATGTTTCCAGCCTCCCTTGCAGTGCCGACCTCAGGGACTTCTACTCCGCAGAGCCAGCTTGCGCCCCTGGGACACGCTTCGGTGCACCAGCAGATGCCCCAGCAGACTCTGCCTCCACCAGCTACACTGGCACTGACTCCTGGCCAGTCAGCTCCACCGCAGTTCTTACAGCCAGAGGAATTAAGGGTGTTCCATGCTCCTGCTCTTCTCGGCACCTGTCTATCACCAAGATCTTTAGCACCCTACCTTCAGTACTCCCCTACCACTTCAAGCCCCTCTAATGACGTGTGGGAGGATGAGTACGAGGAAGAGAAAGAGGAATATGATGACCGGTTGTTTTCCTCTCAATACTCTACCCAGATTCAGTTACCTACAACTGGGAGACACATTACAGCACAATCTCCATATCCTCAAGGCTATCCACACTGGTATGGTAATCCCTAGATGGGACCACCTATGTCCCCTTCCCCCAGAGCAATGGCCACACTGGGGTACATGGACCTGGACCTACACCACACCACACTCAGGTCTTCCGCGGGCTGCCCGGAGGAAAGTTGTCAGACCCTCCCCACTGCCTGCTTACATTGAAACCCAGATAAGACTCGAAGTGGCAGCCACCCCTACAGAGGACACTGCCCCGCACACCTCTTCTATAGCGATAACACCACAAGATGCCACGGTGCCCCCACCACCTCCCGCTACTGATGAGCTCTCTCACTTTCAAGAGTTGTCTCAGAGAGTAGCAGAAGAGCTCAAGATTACCCTGAAGGAGGTATCTGAAACACACCATGAACTCACCGATATCCTGCAAGCTACGATCTCCTCCAAAATAGCCCTACCAATTAATGGGGCCATTATGGAACTTGCTAAAGCTATTTGGCAGACCCCAGCTACAATAACACCCACTAGTAAGAGATTGGACCTCAAATATTTTGTCCCATCTAAAGGTTCTGAGTTTCTATTTACACACCCCTCATCTAATTCGCTAGTATAGTATGGTTCTCATCCAAAACTCACTGAAGTAAAGGGAAGTCTTTTCATTGACTTCAGCGGGCTTTGGATCAGGCCCCGTATCTAATTTAGATAAGAAATACCTGCAATAATGCTGATATAGCTTTGGATAAGGGTTGACTATTTAATGGTGAGCATGGTAAATTGCTACATGTGTGCGTGGGATCTATAGGTCACTTAGTTTGCCCCATAAAACCATGTTATTAAGTTTAGGTTTAGTTCATTCTCATGCTGTTGCTTGGACAGCATAGAGGTCATCAAACATGTTATGTACCTCCATGATGATCTGTCCTGAGCCATTTTTGCCGTGTTACGCAGTAGGATAGCTATGAGGAATATGTGTCTGTTGATGCCATCCAGCCATCATGTTTTAGGACTTCTGGGGGGTCTTTTCCATCCTGCTTTCATTGGGTCAAAGTCAAAGATACTTCTCGCAGGGAAGCTCAGGCAGAATAGATGACCATACCACTTTAGAGAGTGTTGGGCATCCATTTGAGAGAGAGCATGATCTGTCTAGTTAGGAAGAAGCTCTCTTCATTCAACTTGAAGTCATACTGTTTGATGTTTTTGATCATTTGTAGATACTTCATCTGAGTGGTGTCTAACCTCTTTATAGTCTTGATAGTGATCAGCCACACATCACATATTGACCATCAAAGCATTATATATCCTTTGCTTCATCTCTCTGCTTATCAAGGTTTTTGATTTGTGAAAGATGTTCTTGATGAGGTACCCTGTTATTTATGATAATTTTGTAGTGTGAGCTTCAAGTGCTTTCTTGTTGCTGACCATGTTATCGACAATAGAGACGAGGTAGATTAAATCACTGACAATCTTGACTAGATGGTTGCCCACGAAGATGCTAGAGCCCATAGCATGTTCAAAATCACTAACTGGAAGACTTTTGGTTTTCCTCCAATTAATTTTCAGTCTGAGCTCTCCACCGAGCTTTCCAGGGCTTTAAATGCCACAGCCAGCTAATCCACTAGTTCAACAACTAGCACTATGCCATTGGGAAAATCAGTGTTGGTAAGGTTCTTATCAAAGGGTATGCCTAAAATACATTTACTTAGTGTCTGGTCAAGTACGTAGTCTTTGACCACATTGAAGAGTTCTGGGGATGCAATGCATCCTTGTCGAACACCTGATGTAATTCGGAAGAAGGCAGTTATTTTCCCATTTTCTAGAATGCAGCTTGAGGAGTTGTCATATAACAGATGGAACATTCTACAGAGTTTGTCAAGGAAGCCTGTGAGTTTCAAGATCAGTCAAAGCAATTCCATGTTAATAATGAAAAGCGGCCTTGAAATAACAAATGCAGTGTGAATTGGATGCTTGAATTTTCATGCCTTCTCAATAAGCTGGCACACTGTGAAGATTTGCTCTGTTGTGGAATGGCTGGGCATGAAGCCAACTTGTTATGGTCTTCTTTTTCTGAAGATATCCAAGGGTCAGGCCAATAAGACAGAAACAAAAACTTTCCTTGGGATGGATAGAAGAGTAATGCTGCAGTAGTCACAACAGTCTTGTTTGTGGCCTTTACATTTCCAAAGCAGTAAAATAGTGCCTTTTTGCCAGTTGGATGGGACTGACTCTGTTCTCCGAATGATATTGTCAGTGCCTGCAACTGCAAATAATAGTTGGTTTGGCATTTTTTAATGGTTCTGCAGGAATTCCACAGATTCCTGCCACCTTATTTCCCATAGTGTTACTGATATCTCTGTGTATTTTGTCGATAGAGAATTCCCCAGGTTCATTTTATGCAGAACAGGTCATTTCAGCAGTGGCCTTAATATCAGGCTCCAAAGAATATTGGCGTGTGTTTAGTAGCTGATTGAAATGTTCGCTCCAGCCTGCCATGCACTCTGCTTCTGTATCGGTTAGCTCACCAGAACTGGAGTAGACAGTGCCAAGTGACTAACTTCTCTCATCAGTGAGGTCACACAAGTGTTTGTTTAAGGAGACAACATTGTTCCTAGCATAAGTTTCCTTGAGTGCAATAGCTTTAGCTTCCATGAAAGCTTTGTGGTCAGTATGTATTGCTTTATTATGAGTGCAATTTAGTTTATGATATGTGATTACATTACCTCCAAATGAGCCTTGTGATGCTGTTCAGTAGTGGTGAAGATATTAATGGAGATTCAGGGATTCTCGGTTCTCTTTTTGGGATCAATAAAGATCATAGCGTCATCAATTATTTGAGATCTGAAGTTTATCTACAAGGATTGAGTATCAGTGAGACTCTGGCAGGGTCTCAAACCTGTTCAAGATTTCAACTGCATTATGGTCTCAAATGTTCCTGGATCTCTCATCTATGGCCTTTTAGAAGAGAACTATCAACATAACTTACTTAGACTTTCCTGAATAAAACACTGGCAGAGACTGAAGTTAAAGCAGAGAAACGAATGTGAATTTTCATTATGGCAAGAGAATAACAGCGGGATGCCGCAAGGTTGTGTACTAGGTCTGATGTTGATTAATATATTTACTAATTTGAAAAGAGGGGTGAGCTGTGACATAGCCAAATTTGCAGATGACAAAGGTGTTTAGGTTAGTCACCCCCAGGGAGACTGAGGAATGCCAGAGAGGACCTAAGAAAGCTAGGATAACACTGCAGGCAGCACAATGGCAGATGTAGTTCAATGTTTTGTAAATGCAAAATCATTCATATTGGAGGAAAACATTTGAACTACTCTGATGCCTTACAGGGTACTAAACTGATTGTATCACTTCAGGAAAGGGACCTGGACATCATTATGGGCAGCTCAATGAAGTCCTTGCTTCAATGGGCAGCTGTGGTCAAAACAAACTAGATATTAGGATACCACAAAGAGCTTTGTCTCGCAAATCACCAATATATCTATTTGAAAATATTGGCATTCCACAGCATCTTAAAAAAATAATCTTGCAATGATTTATAATGGAAGCTGGCAATGAAGGAGTTAAAACCAGTAACACTTGCTTCAGGGTTGAGACTTTGCATGTTTTAGGTTTTAGTGAATATTTGTGGTTGATTATGGACCACCCCCTAAAATAAGGGCATATAATGGAAATGCTGACAGATTTTAAACTACGGTGGTGGTAGCAGGCTCTGCTATAATTAGGCATGTGTCTCAGTAGTCTGTGTAATATGATTGCCTTGTCAATACCTTGAGCTGGAAGGAATGTATCTTAATCTGGACAATCCTTTTAAATTAGTTTGGGAGGTTGTGTGGGGAAAAAACAGATGCTGAGGTTTATTTCATTGTAAGACTCAACTTGTGCGTACACGAGAAGATAACAAATATTTGATGGATACTTGATAACCCTGATTAACTGCACCGATCACTGGAGTCCTGGCGGTATGCAAAAAGCATCAAAACTTAATCTGAAAAGATTAGGCATTAGGGCAGAGCACCAGCAGAAATCACATGAAAGATCTCCTAGTTCCCTCTTTGTAACTGTTATATGGTTGAAATTGTGAACGTGTTAGTAGGTCTTTTCTTTCTTTGTCTGGTTTTGATGACTATGGCCTACTGAACTGAACCAAAGTATACCTTTTATCTTGTGTTTTTGTTAAACTGCTACATTTGCCTTGTGTAATTTCAGTGGACAGAGCCCAGCTGTTGCTGAATTTAATTTACTACTGAAAGCACATTCTTTGGAAACCTATGGTGTTGATCCCCACCCTTGCAAGGTAATAGATCAGTTTTTTTAAATAAATTATCTTCTTACAGGTTAATAATGAATTAGTCCCATTTTTATCCAGCCATGTGTCCTAAAACATTTCTAAAAGAGCCTCCCCAGAAAGTTAGAGAGATGTTGCAGCTTTGTAAAATGTTGATTGACAAACACCTGTGTGTCCGTCCCAGAAGTACTGCCTAGCATAGGCAGTATTTCAAAGTATGACACTCTAGCAGGCTGTGTCAGTATGAGGAGATTTTTTTGGGGGGGGGTCCTGGCAGGTCACAAGTATTGTAATTCCATCCCAACTGTGTGAACAGCTTGTAGTGCAGTGCTGTCCTCTTACAACAGTTATTGCTCATAACTGTTTCTAGTCAACAGAAAATGATAGCCTAAGTACACATACTAGATAGAGTATATTTTGCTAAGTGTACTGTGGGAAAAGTTTTGATAACTGATCTTTTCTTTGCCATTCAAAACTCTCCCTTAATGTAATCTTATGGAGGGGTTTACTAAGTTTCAATCTTATATAGTGCATGTAATTCCTGAGAAACAGTATATTAGAGTTAAACAAATATTCTAGATGGGAAATACTTCACATTTTCCAATAATTTCAGTAACAATGTGTTACTATTATCCAGAAGCCACAACCAATTGCTAGGACTTCTAGGCTAACATTTCAAACACAAGCGTTTCAGTTGCAGCTGCAAAATATACAAACCATAACACAAACAGGAAATTGCATATACAAAACGGTGAATTGGACATGTACTTATGTATTCAACTTCACAGTCCACTACTTTACTATTCTGTGATTCTTTTACAAAGGTGTCTTTGGTTAGAACCACTAGTTGTCTCGTGTACAAATGAAGCCACCATACATCTGCAATTTTGAGTGATGGTGATTTGCCTTTATAATTTTGCTTTTAAAGTTGCCAGTTTTTACGATGCTCTAATTGTTGCTTTGAATATTTCAACAATACTGCATTCTAACATGGTTTTATGGGGCAAACTAAGTGACCTATAGATCCCACGCACACATGTAGCAGTTTAACGTGCTCACCATTAAATAGTCAACCCTTATTCAAAGCTATATCTGCATTATTGCAGGTATTTCTTTTCTAAATTAGATATGGGGCCTGATCCAAAGCCCGCTGAAGTCAATGAAAAGACTTCCCTTTACTTCAGTGAGTTTTGGATGAGAACCATACTGCATTATTTCAGATGCCCTATTGTATAGTTATTGTAGACTTTTTAATAGTAATCACAATAGGGTACTTACATTTGAAACTGTGTCCCTCTGTGTTTTTGCTTTTACCTTCCACAGGAAGGTTAAAAAAACCCTGATATTTTTTGACTGCATAATGATTTGAAATAAAGCTTATAGAATAGTGAAGCAGATTATGCCAGGCAAATGAGCATTTGGAAATAGGCATAGGAAAGCTGGTTAGTAGAAAACACGAACTGACCTAAACTTTTGCTCAAAAAAATTGAATCCAATCTTTTCTTTGTGGAATTCAAAAAAGTTTGGTTTACTGATTTAAAAGAAAACACCACTTAACACAAATGCAAAGTGCTCCACTTAGGAAGGAAAAATCAGTTTCACACATACAGAATGGGAAGAGACT